CTGCTATTGGCTACGACCATATCGTATAAACAAATTGAGGCATTTCTCGTCTTTAAAGTTCTGAGAATTTTTTTTGACAGTTGTATGATTTCCGCTGAAAACAAAAGAAATAAATTTAATTTAAACAAGATATACACAATATTTCTGCATAAAAATGTCGGTGTGAGTTACGAGTGTACCTAGGAAATTGTGATTGTTGGATGAATCTTTTAAGAAGTTATTGAGCGTACTTTTTGATTTGATGATTTATGTCAGTATTTTGTATCCCATCCCATGTATGTATAAAATCCCTTATTAATAAGTTTGATTTATGATCAAAATCTCATAAAATTTATATTCGAATATGCATATAAAAATATTTTTTTTTTATTTGATTTTAAATAGAATCATCATCCTTGGTCATTAAATAGAATTCGTAATTATTTTTTTTCGTAATTCGTAAATCGTTCGTTTTACATGACGCGAGTTATACATTGAAAAATAGGTATATTAGATAGAATATCATTAAATAGAATTCTATTCATTATTAAAATATATTTGATTCAGTGTAGTATGTTTAATCTAATTACAAAAAATTAAATTAGCACGTTAAAAATTTTTTTTTAAATTATTAACTGCATTATTATCAGACTCTTTATAAAACAATAAACATCAAAAAAATATTTTTCTCTCTTTTCTTTCTATATATAAAACCATTTTGTAATTAAAAACTTTTGTTTGCGCGATGGTATTTCGAACTGACGAACCAATAGCGCGCCACTAAGCATGCGGCGCGTGCCCCGCCGCCCCGCGCCGCCTCGCGCCCCACCTCTTACCACCAATTCGACCGATAAATCGATCCGCGCAGCTTGACAGCCAGCGTTCTTTTTAGATGACGCGAGTTATACCTATGCTTACAAATACACGGTAAGACAATAAATCTTACTTAGTTGCGATCAAATCCTAAATGAAACTTACTTGGAATTGAAGGTTTTAGTAATATGAAAGTGCATATTTGCTTAGTTTTTTGTAACTCTTCATATGTGATGTCGAATAAGAAAGCAACACATAAGGTATTTATTGCACCACTTAGTAACCAAACTATGTTACAGGACAATATTAAATATTGCACCCTCTGAAATATTTAGTTATAACATTTAATAAAAACTTTTTAACAAAAAAAATTAAAACCGACTTCAAACAAAAGCACTAAAAAGTATAAAATAACTGATTGGTAGTTTTCATTTACTATACATACCTAATCAATTTAATATAATAAAATATTTTCGAAGTCGGTGTGCTTTGCTTTGTATCGGCTGCTACCGACTTCGAAATTATTTCATTTTGAAAATAGTAGAATTTAAATTGATACTAATAAATGTAAAACACACATCAATCTTTACTTCAAATCTTAAAAATTTAAGCTAGGACAATAATTAACTTTTATTCTAACTATTATTATATTTATTTATTATTTTCATCTAAGATAAAAACTTTTTAACAAAAAAATAAAAACCGACTTCAAACAAAAGCACTAAAAAGTAAAAATTACTGATTGGTAGTTTTCATTTACTATACATATCTAATCAAATATTTTCGAAGTCGGTGTGTTTTGCTTTGTATGGGCTGGCACCGATTTCGAAAATATTTGATTAGGTATGTATTTAATAGGTAGGATTTAATTACTTAGCCAAATCACACCGACTTCGAAAACATTTGATTAGATATGTATAGTAAATGAAAACTACCAATCAGTTATTTTTTACTTTTTAGTGCTTTTGTTTGAAGTCGGTTTTTATTTTTTTGTTAAAAAGTTTTTATTTTTTCCTTTTTAGTGTAGACAGTAGTAGCAAAGTAAGAATTCTAACGTGTTAGGCTTGTCGAATCAAACAAAATAAGCCCAAACTCAAAGTATCTACTATTAGCCGTTAAAGAGTGCCACCTATCCACCTTCTGGCCTTACCATCAGATCAGGTCAACAATACCAAACCACTGTACTATCAACGGAAATAGAAACACTTGCAAAGTTTCAAGTCAATATGACAATTAGAAGTAGGTTAAATCCATCATTAGCTATTTTTCCACCCTTAGGGGTGGTATTTTTTTTTGAAATTTAAATGGGACCAATCTGGAAGTATACCCTTTCAAACAAAACAAAAATTGTCCAAATCGGTTAATAAATGACGAAGTTCTGAGGTAACAAACATAAAAAAAATAAAAAATAAATACAGTCGAATTGAGAACCTCTTCCTTTTTGAAGTCGGTTGAAAATACAGTAACACTTACCATTTTTTTAATATATGTAATCAATAATTGTGTCACTGAAAATGTTGAAATAACTTCGAAGATTGTTAACATTAAAATCTATAAAAGAAAACAAATTAAATATTATCAGTCCAGAAAAATCTTAAAATAGACAAAATTATATCTAGAAGCTCTATAGAAAGCAATTCAGATTAAGTTGTATGGAATGTAAATTATTACTTTTATGAAGATAAAATTACATTACTTAATAGCCAAAAATACTTACAGGAAATCTGTAACGGTTTTGAACGTAATCCTTATGCAAAAACAATAGTTTATATGCCTTTATAAAACACTCGTCATCAGCCCTTTTATGAAATGTTATTAATTTATTCCAGTTTTCTTTCCACAGTATACCATCAAATAATAAAAATTTGGGGAAGTAATTACGATTTAACTTTGCTTTTTTTATTAGAGATAAATTGAGATATCTCGTTCTCATAATTACGAATACGAACAACAAAACTCCGATGCAAGCGTCATATAATACTTGTAATAATAACGCAAAGAATATGGTAGTGCAGAATAAAAAAGAATTATAAACACGAATAGTGTAATAGAATGCGAAAGTTACAAGAAATGCTGTTGTTGCTATCAAAGTGGAATAAAGAATAAATGATTGTACTAAAGCTTTTCGCATAAATTTGGTCTCGTTGACACTTAAAAGAACATCAATATCAATGCAACTGTTTAATAATTCTACTCCAGAGTGTCTATGAAATAATAATATATTCACTACACAAACATTTTGCAAACACGCGAACAATGGTAATATCATATATTCAAGAACTCCAAACTCCAGAGCAGGTGAGTTACGGTTTTCATAAATAATGAAACATATACAGATATCCCATATAAATAGAAATAGAAAACCTCTACAAATGTTTGATATTGGCTTTTCGATTATTTGCTCACTGTTAGCATGAAATCGAAAGAATCCCGGTATTCTTAAAGGCAATACAAAAACGCTGTTGATATAACCTACGTATTCTTTCACAAGCTTTTGTCTTTGACTTTGCATTATGGTATCCATAGAAAACTATTGAAACAAAAAGTTTTAAAGAAGGCTGGATACTATTTGAACGCTACCACTAAATAAAAATTCTAGTATTCCAATTAATTTAATCCAACGTTAATTTGACTCCCTAGGGTACCATTAATAAAGGAAAAAGAAATATTCCAAAATGAAATTAAATGGTTCATAGCTTTTATAATAATTACATAATTTTATGTATATATGAAACATAAAATAAAACAAAGAAAAAATGTTTTAATCTGTATATATTGCTTATCAGTAGGTACAGAATAACAAGAGTGTTTCCAAAAATGTGAAACTACAACTTGACATTGGATTCGAAATGCTACTAAATGCAATAAATGTGCAGGTCAAAACCTAGGCATTGCGCTATCACAATACATGGAACTAAATATATGATAAGCCAATATATTAAATAAACGTTCAGATCTATCAAGTCCTATCCGATTGTAAAAAATATTATAACAATTTTAACTTCTTTAAAAATCTCATTTACACTAATTAGGTACACCTAAAAATATTTAAGAGTTATTTTAATTTTTACTACTATTTACTAATTTAGACATATTTACAATTTCACATTATATATCCACAAGCTTCGCTGTGAAAGCGCAAATGAACCAAAATTGAGCATTAGAGACAAATATTCAGCATTGAACCGAAAACAATTCATAATGTTCATCTCGATGTTCAGTTATGCCATAACGATCAACACCCATAATAACTTAATTACACAATTACATAATTCTTACACACACACTCACAGCACAGACTGTATCTCCGATCGTCTCTATAATTTAAATAATATAAATATTTCTAGAAATGCATTTTAACTTGGTACGACTCTCGTGAACCCACCAAGGGCTACCACAAATTCAAAAATTATTACCATTATAAGTACCAACAAAGAACAAACACAACATTAAGTACATAAATCTTGTGACACGTATTAACACAAACTGTTGATATTGAGAGAATTAGAAGCTAATATCACTAAACGAGGAAAGAGTTTCCTTATTATTGAGTTACATCAAAGCCTTACTGGCAATGATTGTGTTTTATAATATGACTTGGACAAAAAACGTCATCCAAATCATAATCTTTGCTTCGTTTCAAGCCAGCGAAAATTATAATACTTGTGTGAGCACCATTCGACCGTGCAGTCCAATGAAATTGACGCTGATTTGAAACGAAACTTACAAAATAATTTCAATAACATTAGAAATATTTATGACCTAAGGCTAATTGTTACGTTGCAAACTAAAACTAAACTTACAATTATTCCCGTACCATCACCAAAGATTGCACATAATACCCGATACTTTGATTTTTAATTGCAGTCATGCCTTTATTAATAGAAAGGCTAGTGGATTTTTGATGACTGTAAAAAGGTATTTTTATTTGGAACCAATTATAATCAGTGTTCCTTGTTATACAAATCGCAGAAGGGTTACGAATTGATATAATACCTATATTTAGATTGGAAGACAATGTATTTAAAAAGTTAAACAAAAATTGCATGCATAAACTAAGTAAGCATGCGCACTGGGATCTTAAAATCCTTATACAATTATTAACGGACGGAATATTTCTGTTTTAATTTTGTACTAAAATTCATCGTATTGATAAATTTTTAAGTACTTATGCCGTACAAAATTGTTTGTTATATTTAAATTGCTTAATTATGGACTGGCATAGGAAGTTGGCCCAATAGTTGATTGGCGAAAGTTGCATTTGTGAATTTAAAGTGTCGCTTATCGTAGAACTTCAATAGAGCAGGAGAATACGGATGTTGTTTTTTGAGATGCATGTAATGTTCTTCAGGTTCTGAGGTGGTGTGACCGCATTCTTCACATACATACATCTGAAAAAAAGCAAAAACAAATGTTAATGCCGTTTCTTGTTAAAACATATTCGTTTTCATTTATAAAGAAGATAATTAACGTTTGTAAATATTTTCTATTTAATAATTTGCATTAAATTTATAGACTATGTTACTAAAATAAAGAAAAATTACCTTTGTTCTTCTTTCCTTGTAGGCATAGGTATGTTGAACTCCATGGACTTTTAAACAATGAGATTCTAAAGAACATCTCTGGGTAAAAGACTTCTCACACAGATTACATTTGTAAGGTCGAACTCCCGTATGTGTTCTAGTGTGTCTTTTAAGATCGAAGGTATCATTAAAGCCTTTGCCACAAAATGTGCATAAATATCGTTTTACATCAGAATGGCATTTCATATGTCTATTAAGAAGTCTTTGTAAACTGAAATTCTTCGAGCAAACTCTGCATACAAATTTTGTTGGATCATCCTCACTGACCAAAACTTGCTTATTCTTTTCTTCTTCTCGTTGCCTTGCATTTGCTTCAGTAGCTAAGGGATTTTTGACACCGTGCCCACCATTAATAAATTCCAACGGTAGCTCTGCTGGAAGTCCAAGCTGTAAAATAAATAATTTATTATTAGAAAAACTTTGAAACTGTTAGGACAGCTGAAAATAAAATCACACTGAAATATAATATAAATAAAGCTGAGCTCAATCAAGTTTAGCTGTCCTCTTTATTGTTATTATATAATAATAATTTAATTCGAAAATTGCATAGGTAAAAGCATAAGTTGATTCAGGCTCAGCGTTGTTATAACGTCTTATGATTTTATCCTCAATGTTATCAGCATAATTTATGTGAAAACACTGAAGTGAGCTTCGCCTTAAAATCAAGTAATGCTTACCCTTTGTTGCAAGATTTGAATTTTGCTATCGGTGACTGAGCCTTTCTTGAGACTTACAGCAGCAGCAGGACTGAGAGCGGAGGTTTCGATGTGACTGTTGCCGTCCAAGGAATTGTTCCCACCCGGTGATGGCAGGGAAACACCCGTTGGCGAGTCCAAGTCCAGAGGATGATTGGTGTACGGGAAGCCTGGAGATAGCATTTGCTGTCTTTGTTGAAGTTGAACATGAATTTGTAGTTGCTGCATTTGGCCTTCATTATGTGGAAGAAGTCCTGGATTAATATGCATTAACAAATCTGGTCGCTCTTTGCCAAATGCATGTGCGACATTTGGCTCCTGGCTTGCTATTGCGTAGTATTGTCTGCTCAAATTAACTTGTTCAGCTAATGTTTCAATGTCTACAGCATTATGAACGGAGTCTGGCGTAATTGAAGAAGACTCTCGTAATTCAGTATCTAGTGATTCAACATGATTGTTTAACAAACTGGCAAAATCCTCCGTAGAATCAGAAAAATTGCCCAATATACCTTCATTTTGTGCAAAAGTTAGTGTTGTGTAAAATTGATTATTATCTATGCCATCCTCCCCCATATCTACGACCATGGAATCATCAAAATTTCCGTAAGTACCAATGGCTCCAAGATTTTCTATTTTGTTTTCATAGTCAATCTCTTCATCTTTTAAAGCTAACCCATAATTAGCATTTTGCATCAAGGAATATTGTTTGCTTTGTTCGGTAAAATTAGTATGTGTGTTTTCGGTATTTTCACAGTCCATATTGAAACCGTTAATAATATTAAATTCATTTGAGAAGTTTCCATTAGCATTATATGTATTTTGACCATTCTTAGTAGATGGTCCTAATGTTTCATAAAATGGCGGAAGACTACCAGTAGGTGGGCTATTTGGCCCATAATTTGATCGTCCATCACGACCATTGCCTCCACTGCCGGAACCTCCTCCTAAGGCTCCTCCTCCGCCAGATGATGGAGTCGCACTTCCTGAACCTGAACTGAAACTTCCTGAACTACCAGTGTTTTGGGAATTTCCAGTTGAACCACTTCCGCCAGTGGAACGTCCATGCCCAGCTGCAGCATTGATAATCCCGGGAATTTTACTTCCAGGACGGTTTCGTAATACTAAAACAGGTCTAGCTAAAATACCATTAGCAATTTTTGAACTGCTGGTCCTTCTTTGTTCTCTTATTTTCTTTTCTGTTTCTTCATCTTCAGACTCGCCCCTTTTTTTAGCAATAGCATAGTCAATAGGTTGATCTTGTTCAGGTTCAGAAGTAGGAAGAGTCGCTGGAATTGTTACATCTGATACTTCTTTTTTACTATCACGAAACTGTGACTGCGAAGGTGTCCTTTGTATTACTGATACTTTTTGGCAGGTGACATTATTATCGATACTTGGAGAAGGTGCAGATTCGGGTGAAGGTGAATTTCTAGACGGTAAAACTACAAGTTCACTTTCTAATAAATCTTTTTCTTCCTTGATTAGAGGTTTATCATCACTTTTACTGTCATCAGCTACAACTGGTAAATATTGTTTTCTTTCTGCTTGAGTTAACACGTGTATGCCCCTATGGCTTCCATAAGGGATTTCTCCGCCAAGTATTGATGAAATGAATCTTCTAGGTTCTTTAGTGCGTCTTTCTTGTGTATTTTTGACACCATTGCTTTCTCCGAATACATCTCGATCTGAAAATAAGAAAAATCAGGATTATTTCCACGCAAATTATTAGTAAACATTAAAGACAAATGTTATTTTAAAACAAGTTTTTTGAGAAGTATCTATTCTTGTCGGTTTATAACGTATTCGTGTAACGTCGCAGGCGTAAGGCCTCATTGACGTCACTGGTATGTGCCTCCATAACGGTAACACTCGCCTCCACATACACAGTGCTGTATGTGTGAGTCCGTGAAGCATTAATATAATTCGCGCACAAATTGAATGTAACTATAAATAATGATACATTATGTATACTTAAATAACAATTGCACTGTTTTATACTATTATATTGATAATCAATATTCCTAAAAATTCATTTGGATGTTTTTAAATTCTTAACTTATAAAAACAGATATTTACATAATTTATTTTATATAAATTAGGAAGTGACTATGAAATTTACTAGTAACAGCAAAATATGCGTAGGTAGTCAGTGAAAGTCCCAAGGTTGATCAAAACAAGTTTCTTTGCCCTTTCTCAGCTTTTGTTAGGGTCCCAAGGACGATGCCTGCATTGTTGAGTCTTCTTTTTTGTTTAATTTCCGTAATTGTATGCGTCTGAGCGGGCGAGCGTGACATTATTAACTTGAATTTAAACCAACATCATAGAACACCACATTAAATACATATTTTAACAAATAAGATATTATAAAACTGTAATTGAAACTTCTACCAACTATAAAAAAAATTGTGCTTGCATCTTTATTAATGGTTTCATTAAAGTATGTAATTTTCAAAACATTAGTAATATAGTATTGTCCATCTGATATTATATAAAATATTTTTTTTATATAATACCTAACGGATTTTCGTATCTCAACTTTATTTAATTGTCACTTCTGTAATCTATCTACTCAACTACTAAATAATTAACGACACCAGAACAAATAATAAATGATTATTATTTGTTCTGGTGTCGTTAATTATGAAGGTGGATAACAAATATATTAATGATAATATATTTGTTATCCACCCTAGTTTAATCATGTCTTTTAAAAAATAATTCGAAAGAAGTATTTAATATATTATATATATGGGTACTCGTAATATATAATACTTACGTTGTGCCCTCTAGATATAATTTGGTTTCGTTTATAAATTATTACATACATACATATAATTGAAGGTTTATTACAAAATACGGTAACGATTAATTATATCTACAAGAAAGTCAAATCAATAAAGGTTTAACGATAAAAGTTTATTTTCAAAATCGCGCCAAGAACGAATAAAAAGCTAAAACGGTTTGATTTAAAGTGAATTTATACTGCTGTTTACTGTATAAGCTTTGTGTGCAAAATAAATAAAACGTGCGTATTGAGGTACTTGTTCACAATAGAATTATAAAATTTTCCATATTAATTTTGTATTACATGTGTTATTTTCTAAGATTCATTCTATTTTATCAAACTATACTGAATTATATTATAAATGCAGTCATTAAATCATTTTTTACGCTTTGCTCTTTGGAGGGTAGGTGGTGAAAATTTATTGAAATAAGTTAATCTATAGATGCTAATATTATATAGGGGCAGAGTGTGTTTGTTTGTTCGTTATTAATTGATGTTACTTATCCGATTTGAAACATTATTTTTGCTTTTTATTAGATAACCCGTTTATTGAGGAAGGCTATACTATATATTATAGAATTCATGAATATAATATATAGTCTATCTATTCCATACTAAGCTTTAAAACGTACCTAGGGACAAACCTGAGCGAAGCGAGGGTGAGTCGCTAGTGTACTGTAATAATCTCATAATAATTTCCAATTTAGACGATGTACATACTTACTAATATGCTTAGCATTGAAGTTATTGTTAACGAGGTCTATTTAAATAGTGCGGTTTTTATTCTAAAACGGTAAGTCAAGGCCCCGTAATTACCATGTCCATATCTATTCAGTTACTTGCTGTTTCCTGTCGAGAAACTGTATAAACAACCTTGAAGGCGAGCACTCATTATTTGGCCATTACATATATTGGAGTTAGCCTTCTGCGCTCTTCACATAAATTTTCGTTGATACTTAGGCTTAAATTAATTTAATATGCGGTAGATCATTTTGATTTGTATATTTTATGTTATAAAAATCATAATTGGTATGTGAATCGAATGATTATAGATCACGTCATGTTTGTTTTGAAGAAGTACTTGTCTTGTGTCACATTTGCGTCGTTTTAGAAAAAAAAATGTTGCTTTTTTAAGGTAGACCGTTAACCGTAATTGATATGGTAATTTAGCAATATATTATAACGATATCGGTCGAACAATCATTTCGTCATCACATTATGGGAAGTTAATGTACTAAACGCATTTTGTGGCTAAAGAAATTAAATACTGGTACTTGGAAGTTAGAGCAATTATTGAGGCATTAATCATTGCCAAAATATAATATGCCTAAATGATTAATAATGTCTGTTCTTACCGATATCGGTTTATAATTATTATATTGCGTAGTGCTCTGCCTTCTTAGATAAATGAATTCACAGATGAGTTGCACTCGTATTAGATACTTGATACTTTTTTTTATTTTTATTTTATTTATTATGAACACCAACAAAATACTCAATATCACATTCTTTTACATACATAGATAAGCTTAGACTAGGTGAACTAAATGGTATTTCAATTACAGGTGAAAACGGCATGCAAAAATTTAGACAACAATGATATTAGATAAAAAACAAGCTATTATAAACTAAAAGAAATAAACTCATTGAATATATGTATTTTATATGTATATGTTTAGAATATAGAAAAGCTTTTCAGGCCATGTATGATCATTTTAAACAGGTTGTAATTAACAAAAAAGTAGCGAGTAACAACAGGCAAACTAGTATGTCCTTGTGTGTCGGGGTTATCGGACGCGTGTAGCATTTAAAATATTTAAAACATAAGACAGCTATGAAGAACCGCTTTGAGCAGGGCACATAAAATTCCGTTGAGTCCTTTTTTTCCATTAACATAAGTACCGATAGCACACCGTACGGTACGGAGCGCTTTAGCCGCTGAGAATTGGTTGAAAGGTCGTTTGGAAAGACATTTTTTTTTCTGAACTATTTGTTGTAGCTTTGGTTGAATTTAAAGATAGGTTGCCTATCAACTAAATTTTACAGGTCACGTATCTTTACATATTTGTATGTGCTGTATTCTCGAATTGTACATTCTTTATTAATGCGTAGGTTTTTTAAGTTCAAAATATCAAATATTTGCGTTGCCAGATACAAAATAGCCTTGTATGTATTTTCAACTTAGAGCTGTACAAAAAGTTCCACTTAATACTTCTTGTCTCTAAATGAACGGCTACAAAAACTGTTCAACGCTTTATTATTACTTTGATCACAGCGTGAATCACAACCAGATTTGGCAAGGGTTAATGACCCAAATATGTTTGCCGAAGTTTTCAAGGCTAACACCGAATAAATTGGTTTGCGCTATCCAAAAAAAAAATCCGGTATCTAAGAAGGCGATTCACTCATTTGTTTTAGTTGTTAGTCTTCCTACTTGATGGAGGTTACTTCAGTTTTATTTATGTATAAGATCCGTTAACTTTACAGTGAATTATTTAATACCATAGTTAAATTTTAAATATGTATTATTCAGCGAATTAAACCTACATTAAAGTAGTTAAACAGGTTCCGTATTTTGAGACAATAATTCAATTGTAATGTGGAACGCCTGAACATTGTCCTCAAATCTAAGCTATCGTGGGCGACATTCAGTAAATTGCTCCAAAATACCTACACGAAATGATTATCTTTTATGGCATGACACAACAATAGCAGAGATGACCTTAGTCTCGAGATGTATGCTTGCAAAACGATATTTTTATGTACTTGAATATTTTTGCCGCTTTGAAGAATTTTAAGTAGATATTAGCAGTAAAAAATACTTCTAACGATTATTATATAACAGAATAATTAAAATTGAAAGTCTCTATATATTGAATAACTAATTATAATCGGTAACCTTCAAGGTGGTGTGTGTTTTGATAACAAGAATTGTCTAAACGTAAAGACATATATTAAATCTTTCAGAATATACACACTTAAATAAGATAATTTATCATTGTTTTTATGAAATAACTAACCTCCAAACACTTTTGTAAGGGCGATTTAATAGAGAATGTATTTATCATGTTGATGTGCTTGCTAGTAATTATGCCTGCAAACAATACTATTAAATAACGATAGAAGTAGATGGATGGAACAACAAATGTGCACTACTAAGATTGCCGTTACTATACTACGCTAATATCATCATTTTAATATAAAAATGTGTTCGAATATTTAATCATTACCTAGTTAAGTATATGATGTAATTTGGTTACAGTTTTTATGATCTCATCATACTTTATAATATTATTTTCAATCAGCAAGTGATAGCTTTATTGTTTCCGCAATAGGCAAGTGGCAGTCTAACTCCTTTACCTAATAGTAGCTATACATTCGCCGTAATGATTATTGCGTTATTAATCTTGTTTTGCGGTACTTTTTACGGCAGCCTGGTAAACTACAGTTTATAATTTAAAATAATATATTCGTTTAAATTGCTGTTTATTATTTACAAGAGTAATATTGTACATAATAGCGACTCACCCTCGCCCCGTTTGGGTTCGTCCCTATGTTTCAACAGTTAGTAGGTATCTGTATAGATTTCTTAGAGATCAGATATATTCCCCCAATAAAAAGTATCCTAAATATTGACCCAGATAACCACCTATCATCATACCAAGTTTCATCAAAATCCATCTAGTGGTTTTCCCGTGATGCGTTCCCAGACAGCCAGACAGACAAAGAATCTAAAAACTAAAGATTCGGCCTCTGCATCGATAAAAATGACTATTTCAATAAGATTTTCCAAAAAAAATGTTTAATATAGGTACAGATTCGACTTAGTTAGAATATTATTATTTGTATGTATAGATTAAATATTACTTAGCTTACATATAACCGTAGAAGAAATGTAAGTATTCTAAGCAAATATAATGAACTATAATGAAAAAGATCTTAATAAATAACAACAACACAGTGAATAAAAAAATCTTTAAATTATAAATAGGTTAAAATAATTAGCTTTCGCTTAAAATGAACATACAGCCGTTTAATTTTTTATTATGAACTTTTTGTGATGTGGCCACCATCGTAATTATATAACTTTATTTATAGATATATGGGAAATATATTATGTAATTAAAAATAAATATGGCAAAATATATCAAACATTCTCATATCAATATACAATAAGTATACCTATATAAGTCGAACAGCTGTACAGAATGACTATGATCAAAAAATAAACAAGACGTTTTTTCTGTAACTGCTAAGCAATTAAATGTGCCCGCATCTCGCCATTTACCAGCAAAACCGGTGATTTAAATATTTTAGCACGACATGTGTGACCATTCCTAGAACATGCTACACGTGTGACCCATCTTACTGCGGACACGCAAAAAACAGCAAACCCTCGTTCGTACTCGCTTTAAGTGGCATATAATAAATATGCTATTGACTTATATTTTAGGGTATTCTCTTAATTTTAGCGCTGTGTTATTTAAAATTAAATTCGATATTCAAAAACAACGACAAAACTTAACTGTACCTACTAAATTTATATTTTTAAGAAGCGATAAGAGTAGTACAATGACCATTACTTTTTGTATTCAGAACGGTTTTGCTTTATTATCAATGCAATTTTTAAGAATGCGAAAGCAAAAAGTTAAAAAGCAACACAATGGATAGGATACAATAGCAAGTCGATCACATGGTGTAATGTATTTCTTTTCAAATAATCAGTAAAGATTAAATTTTACCATCTGAATAGGTACTAAATCAGTTCCAGGTAGGATTGTTTGTTGTGTTTCATCTGAACATGGATTAATATAATCCGCACAAAAGGTACCACATGAGACAAAAGTGTTAAGTAAAACCTTTTTAGTCCAGTTTTCTATATTATTTTCACTATTTGATGTGCCAGATTTAATATATCAACAACACTTAGTATAACTTAAGATTGGCTTAAGTATTTTACATATAGAACACGTAAAATAGTTTTTCTTAAATAACTCTTTAAACCTTTATCTAATTATTAAAATCCTTAGAAAACACAAACTAAAAGTATAAATTATATTTATGTAAATAAGTCCTGCGAATGTTAATATTCTTAATTGGTGCGTGTAATCATTGCAAGTGATTTACAAGTGATAAATTCGATTTATAAACAATAATTGCTATATTATGCCTGAACACGTACGGTTTTATTACCCGACTGCGGTGAAGCCCAAAGGAGGGTTATGTGTTTGATCTGTATGTATGTATGTGTGTATGTAGGTATGTATGTCTGACCTTATGTTCTCTTGTAATTACTAAACGGCGTAACCGATTCAGATGATTCATACGTGATTCGATTCGTCTTAATAACCCGAGTGTCATAGGGTACATAGATATTATTATATATCAAAATGGCGGGTCCTAGGCGCCAACTTGTGGCTTGAAACATTTTTCTCGTCCAAAGTAATCGAGTGGGACCTCAAAATACACATTTTTAAGACCCGATTAGAAAAATATAAACAACTTATATTTTTTAAAAGTAATTTACAATAAGAAATTGTTAAACAAAACTGAAAATGTTTAACTGACCAAAACTAAAAACCTGTAAAAAATTTTTTAAGTTAGTTGTCTTGCATTCTATTTCCCAGTAAAAATGAGCAAACATGTTCAAGAACTTGTGCGTTGAGCTAGTAACATTTATATTTGTTATTCTCTAGTTTATGTGCGTATTTTTTTATTTTTTACACCTGTCATCTTTAATATTCCTAACATTTAAGAATAACAATTTAAAAGCAAAATATTTTTTTTATCGCTATCAGTTAGTAATAAGTTTAACTAATTAAGCTATAAAAGATTTTATTAGTTCATTTGGGTATAAGATGATGTATGACGCGTTGAAATCTTTTGTACTGGGGTACGAGGAAAGCTTTTTAATAACCATAATATAATTAGATATAAATCATTCATCCATTTATTTCAAACTAAGTTTTCAAATTTGCGCTATTCTTTTATAATTTCAGTTTCTTTTCTTAAAACATTTTGAATTTGCGAGGACAGAAATTTTATTATTTCAATATGAGGTTCATTTTGCTTATATTTATCAAATATTTTACATAATTATTTTTATGTATTAATGGTGCTGGCTAATTTATCAAAAATTTGTAAAGATGTTAGTACTAATAATGACGCTTATCCCCTAAGCTTCTTTCGCCCCTATATTATTTCACTTGACCTTAACAACTTGCCCTTTGTACAGGTGTCATTCCACCTGGAATTACGATGTGCTCGGTACTTGCTATTTATGTCGAATGTTCCGATAATGGGAATGCGGGCTCTTACGAACGGCATGACAATATCTGTCTTTGTTTTTGCTCTGTTTATTAAAGAAGTTTCAACATTTAAAAATGGTACGTTTATAATGACATATATGTATATATAATTAAATATGTGGATACAAATTGGTATAAATGAACTTAAAAAAATATTTTTTGCATTAAGCACTAGTGTCTTTTTTTGATTCAATGTCAACGTTCTTGTAATTGTAACGGTGGATAGTTAAAAACAGTAGATTTATGCAAACCGTCAAACGCATTGTAGTTAATATTGAAATGACAGAGATCGCGGTGAGTGACCCAAATACAAAGCGGCGGCCGGAAACGTGCCATTGTGCTGCAATCATTGACACCTCACATCACGGTTCCTGTCATGACTACACTTGCCATATACATACAATTCAACGTATCTATATCTATTTGTCTGCTTTCAAATCAATTATTTTATAAGATTAATGTCGTTAAAAATACCTATAGCGTATTAATTAGCTTTGTTTTAGTGGAACTTCATATTCAGTTCTTAGAATTCTTATACTTTTCAGTATACATATTCCGATTTTTATTGAGAGAAGTGGAAGATATGGTTAGGATAACATTTTCCATATGTTGAATGCACACGTACCATAAAAGACTTGTAAATATTTTTTGTTAATCAATGGTTTATGTTAATTAATCTTTAAATAGAATTCTAAGACACCTTGTGACATACGGGCATCCTTATTAAGTTGTTTTGAGCTGCTTTATTTTTGTGCCTTATGCAGCGTACATTTCTAATGAGCGTACAGTATAAAAATGTCAATGTTCTGATGCCCTTGAGTCTGCACTTGGAATCCTATTAACAAACGGTCTTTGAATAAAAAAAAACTATGAGTACTGTTTATTCTTCTTTTTTCCATCATGAAATGCCAAGCATTTTAAGTTTTAAATTTAGTTTTTTATTATAGATATATGTATTTTTGCAAATACATGTATTATAGACATAAAATAAGATATAATAGCATGTCTGGACGACTTTTAGCACACGAGTGCGAATTATTAGTCTCTGGAAAGATGCAAAAACACGACAGTTATATCAGTGATTCACGCTTCGTAACTACCTGAGACCGTTAATTTCCTTGGTGACGTCTCGTCCTGCTTGCTCTTATGCTATACTTTAATACCTAAACTGTCTTCCTGAATAAAACATAATAACTGTTCAGATAAAACCTTTTAGTCTACAGAATTTATAGAGTAAATATTATAATTTGGCTAATATGTTTAACTATTTTAAAATAAGTTGACAAATGCAATGTGATGCGAAGGATCACGCAAGTTACTCATGATCGCAGTCACAGGTAGATGTGTTGGCTTAGCGTGCTCGAGAACAGGATTCTATCTGTGCGATCATTTTTTTGGTATGGCTAGTGGCCGTTATGGAGGAAGCAATAAAAAATATACCTTCATTAGGATTTGAGTATATTTGATAAATTGATAATTGTAAAAGATCTGCATTGATCTTGATCTTACTTATTACTTATCAGTGCTTAACTACCATATTCTAAACAAGCGAATTTAACTCCGCAAGTCGTACAAAATTGTTTATGAATTTTACCCATTTTCGTTTAATTAAATAATAAACAATTAAGTAATAAGAATTAAATAGATTATAACATTGGGGATGCTGTAAATACGTCCAAAAAAGTCTGGTGTAATGAAAGGACACATTTTATTATATACTAATAATATTTTGAATTTAGACTTACCGACGCATTCTTTATCCTTTTTGGAGAGGAGCGGAATTGGACCATCGTCGAGAGGAGAACCAGGGCATAATGGGTCACCTTTACCGAGAAGACCTTCCTGACCCTCCTGTAGCCCAAGTTGTTGCTCGTGCAACCGCTTCTTAATGAGGAATATCTTCGGCATCTTTAGTAGCTAATTAACACTGCACTGGATCCTTTTGTTCGTCTTTATCACAAGTTCTATTATTAAAAATCACCCCGACCATCGATCGACACAAGTTAGCATCATAACACTACACGGTAAGTTTCCTCGTCGCTGTTTACTTTATGCGGAGCAGCTAGCGGCACATCCAGTACCGTTGGCCGCTGCGAAAGGACTGAGAGCTCGTAGGTGTGCGGTGCCCGCGACACCGTTGCCCGAACAGGTCCGCCCGCGCCCGCGCCTGCGCCGCCCCTTGCGCCTGCGCCGGTTATTCTATACAGCCGCTTCTGCGCCATGCCATCACAAATACGGATTCCAGTAAAAGTGCTCGCACATAGACCCTACGTAATACTAATAATACCGTACTTTTTTTTCATGCACAGATTGTCTTATGTTAAGTTGTTGATTAACAAAATTGACTTCTGTTAAATTGTTGATATGATTGTGATCTAAATTAAATTTGATTTTTTTAACAGTAATATTTAATTATATATTTGTTAGGTATATAGAAATAAGTTTTTTTTGTATTTATCAATATATTAAGTACAACATATTTTTAAAATTATATTATAAAATATACTGTTTGTTCATATTATGCGCTCTGAGAGGTCCTCTAAAATCTGTGTCACACGAGTCATCATATGAATCACCAAAATTTTGGATATGAAACATGATGAAGCCAAAATGAGTATTTCCAGTAAGATGAAATACCCACAGTATTTATACTATGTAGTGGCAATTGAGTTATCTTATGTTACATTCAAGTATCCTAAATGTATTGCAATGCATGAAAGTATTATTTTTAATAATTTTTGATGGGTAATATTATGGTGTTTATGTTAATTTAATATTCAATCCGCATTAATTTGTTTAGTTCTTGTTAATTCATTACACTTCAATTATTTTTGATGAAGTTTTCAAGTAATTAAAAACAATATCGATCAACAATAGTTTAAAAATAACGGAGAATTCTTGATGTTTTGTAATCGAGTCGTAAACACAAACTTTTAGGCATGTCATATGATTTCACCAAGCTATATTATTCTATATTATAAGACATATTATATCAAATTAATGTAGTACCAAATCATAGGTTTCAGAAGGCTTACAAAATAATTTGCTGTAGAAATATTTTTCTTTATTTAGTTATTAGTCAGTCGAATGAGGAAGAAGCAATCAGATTACAAAATTTGGTTCATTAATATCCAATTAAATACTTAAGAGTCATCATTTAGATTAAAATTTGCAATTGAATTTACCGCTTTTAATTCAAAAACTCCTTGATTTTATATCTAATTGTTTTTTTCCATGGCAACACTAAAAAGTCCAAACAGGTAAGCTGTTTTCAACATTATAATTTTATTTTATTTTTTCTCCAATTACATACATTCATATATTAAATATTTAGTTGTAGTTTAAAACGTATTCCTTACTATATTATTTTAAAATTGATTAACAACATGAAGCTATTTTACGAAACTAAGTTGTCCATACCATAATACGTTCTTAGATTTACGCAAATATTTGACATTTTAAATAAAACTATCTTTTCGGATTTTTTCGCGGATTTTTTTGGATTTTTGGTTCCCGAAATTTAAATTAATTAAGGATAATAATTTTAATTTAGTTTGCTATTATTTAAAAAGATAAATTACTAAGCAACACTATTACTATATACTTTTACAAATGAAAAATGAAAAATATTAATCTGATTTGCTGTCATTTTGATCCACACAGTAAGAGCTTACTTGTCTCTCCCGCGACGTCGAGAACCAAAAATCCAAATAAATCCGCGAAAAAATCAGAAAAGATAGTATTATTTAAAATTGTCCATACCATATATACTATGATTAAAAAATATTTTGCATAATATGTTTTGTACATAGAAACTGACTTATTACTTTGCCGTCTTAGAAATTTACTTCGTAGACTGATGGTAATTGAACTTGCATATTCATAAGTCTTTAGTTTGTTTAAATAGTTTCAAAACGTTTCAGGTACAAATCGCACAATGTTTGTTGTCGGCTGCCTTTTATGTTAAGGAAGGATTACAAGCAAATGAAATCCCCCGACGAAGAGCAATCAGTACTGGGCATTCATAATAACTGAAGGAACGGGGCTTTACAAAACATGTTATAAAATAGAAACAATAAATTTTATGATCACTTTTGTATCTGCAATGTTAGAAACTCAAAATATGTCTTATTGTTCTTAGATTACAGCGGCAGAGGGCCGCTGTGGCCGATGCGTCAGGGACACTATATCAAAAAGAGGCACTTTCATTATTATTTTCATACAACTTAACTTTACAACCTTGTAGTCATATTACAAATGTCGCACCGACAATAAATGTCTTTGATGTTCCTTTCAAATTGCCTACCAAATATCGGAAATAATAAACTGCTTTGAGCGTGGATATAGGTATCTTAAGATTTCCGGCTTAATACATTTACATACTTATTTATCAACATGCACTTCCGCCTGTTTAAAAGTGTTCACAAGTATTATTGATAACACCATAAGTGAGAATTTTCTTCAAAGTATTTGTTTGTAATACCAAGAAACAGGGTTTTTTTAAATCTCAGTAAGGATCTGCAGTTATCTTATAAAAAAGAGATTATTCTGTTCGAGTTCTTCACAAACAGTTTCTAAATGTAGAGTCCCGCGAAAACGGTTTAGTTTTTTGTGGCTTACTCGTATATTCATTGTTAGTGAGCGAGAAGAGCCTGCGCCGAGATTAACCGCTCTTTAGCTTATATGTGTGCCTACTTTGGACATAGGCATTTGTCTTTTAAGATTTATTTAAGGTATCTGAAGGTTAGAAATAATAGATTATTTCATTATATTCAACCGGTCCTATTAAAATTCTACTCAGCTTGTTTAGAATGCTAGAGGATAAATTATTTTATTTGATACTATCACAAGATAGGTTATATTCACTTACACATATACTTACTTTGAATAATATAAAGTCCAATTAGTATTTTGTACTGAAATGTCCTCATATTAGAAAGCATATAAATAAAATATTTTAAAGCAATAATTTCTTAATTATACATATTTTTTTTAAATGTTGTTGTTAAAATAACCTAATAATGTTAAAATAACCTTAACGTTTAATTTGTAAAGTAAGATTTTATTTCAGGAACTCAAAAAGCTTAAAATACTTTCGTGCTAAAAATAAAATATAACGACAACTTCCTACTGTTGCTTAATTTTTAGGGTCTACAAAAAAATGGATTTTATTAATGTATGTTAACCATGTTATTGGTTATATTTTTTTGTGTCATGGTCATAAGAAAGGTCTCTCTATTTTTAAATTTGATTTTGGTTAAAAATAAAAATATATACATAATATGTTAACGGCTTTTATATGGGCTGAAAATACTTTTTTATTTTTGATTGTAAACAAACAATTCGATAGCGTTACTCAAAGTTACAATACTAATATTTTGTATTTAATAATTATATTAATATAATAGTTCTTCTTCTTCTTAGTATAGATTAATATTATAAATGAGAAAGTGTGTTTGTTTGTTTGTTTATCTTTCTTTCACGTCGAAACGGAGGGACGGATTGGCGTGATTTTTAGTGTAAAAATAGCCGGAGAGCTGGAGAGTGACATAGGCTACTTTTTATTGCGGGAGGTCATCTGATTCCCACGGGAAAATACGTACAACCCAAAAATATATTTATGATCAGAATTACTTGATATTTGGTATTAATGCTCTTCAATACAATTAAATAAATACGTGCTTAAGCATTTTTCGAAATTCGTTCTATAAGGGGGTAAAATAGGGGATGAAAGTTTATACGAAACCTACTTTTGATACAGTTTTTTTTGTAGTTTTAGCGCGAGCGAAGCCGCGGGTTCTGCTAGTAAATAATAATTTATCGCTATATAAAATGACCGTCATCTGCAATAAGTAAAAATAAATAAATTCCTATAATATCTATACAAATAATTTAATTGAAGTGTCTGTTTGTAATGTCTAAATAACAGCTTTATACTATTCATATAAAATTAAATACGATACGTGTATCGTATCCATATTAAGCTACGAGGCTTGTTTTATGGATACCAGATAGTTGATATACATATATAAATTTTAAATACATACATATATACAGAAGTGTAATTTCCAAAAACAAATAATTTATAATAATTTATATGTATACCTTAAGAAGATTAGTGCACTCGCTTCACTCGAGCGTTCCTGAGTAACGTTTTTCAACAATTACCAGTAATATCCCACGAAAACAACTTGATGTGCGATCACTATCCGATATGTTCCTTCACGACGCGACGTATAAACCAACAAACACACTTTCGCGCACAACTTATAATAGTGAGGTAAGGTATAGGTACGTTATGTATTTAGTATACTGTGTTGGGTTATCTTCATCTGCACTTCCCCATTAATTATTCATAGTGCCTAGTGATCATACGATGCTAAAGTAGGAACAATCCAGAATAAAAACATAATATTTTTCCACGTAACACGTTTGTCTAGCTAGTAGATGTTCTATTTAGATTAATTAATATTAATATCTATCTATACAATAATAAAACAGTAGAGATCGAATGTCTGTACATACTCGTAGCAAAAAAAATGCTAAAAACTGAGTCAGGGGGATGTAAGAAGATAAATACGACAAATTCAGATTTTTTTCAATTTTTTTGTTTCTCTGTCTATTTGTCTGTTTGTACGGGCTAATCTCCGAAACTGTTGGACCGATTTAAATGAACACACACAACAACTTATGCACCTAATTTAGTAAAATTTAACATTCTGATACCTTATATTGCCGGTCAAACAACAGGTTACTTTTATTCTCGGAAAAATGAACGGTTCCCGTGGGAACTAATAGATCTCTATTAGTGTTTTTCTAGAGTCAAACCCGAGCAAAGCGAGGGTGAGCCGCTAGTATATTATAAAAAGGGATAATATTTGCTTTTTAAATGATCATAATATTAGTACTTTAAATAGTTTATATGAAATTTTTATTTCCGTTCAATTCATGAATGGATAACTTAATACGTTTTTGTTATATAATTTTATTACATGACGTATGTACAGTATACACTACGGACAAAAATCGATTTGCAATGTCGTAATAAAAGTATTAGAGAAGTTTAAAATCTAAGTAAACACTTAGATGTGAGTGTAGATTGCGCAACTAGACTTGCGCCTGCGCGGGTTCCGCGCCACCTACTTCACTCAAGTTCTTGGCAACGTTAACCTCCTTCAAGTTTAGTTCCCCGCCGACTCGCAGTAATGAGTTCTTGTGTGAC